CAACTTGTGCGTCGCTCGCGTGGTCTGTGAATTTTGCGCAGACAGGTCTGAAGATGACCCCGCGTACCAATCCTGTCAGCATTGTTCGGCATCTCGTCAGAAAATATTTAGAGGGGACAAATGCAAGGAAGAGTTCGGCGATTGGTTGTTCGGTTCCAAAGACACGCTGAATTCCATCGCTTTGGCGCACAATTTGAAAGCATACGACGGGTATTTTTTGCTCAGTTACCTGTACGGTAATGCCATCATACCGGAGATCATTTACACGGGGTGTAAAATACAGTGCATTTCCCTGCCACCGTATAAGCGCAAAATTATCGATTCTATGAATTTCCTACCCATGGCACTGAGCAAGTTGCCTCAAGCTTTCGGTCAGAAGGAACTTCAGAAGGGATTTTTCCCGCATTTTTGGAACACGAAGCAAAACCAAGATTACGCGGGCCCCTACCCGGCTGCTAAATACTACGATCCAGACGGTATGAGTCCGGACAAGAGACGGGAATTCTATGCATGGTACGAGACAGAAAAAGATAAACAGTTTCTACTCCAAGATGAATTGTTGAAATACTGTATAAGTGACGTGGACATTCTGACTGGTTGCTGCCTGCAGTTTCGAACCTTGTTCAAAAAAGTCACGTCCACGGGCGAGGGCGACGCTGGCGTGGATCCCTTCGAAAGTTGCATTACGATCGCTTCGGCGTGTAATTTGGTGTACAGGAGGAATTTTCTATGCGCCGATACCATCGCTATCATTCCCCCTCACGGCTACAGTTGTCAGGAACAGCAATCGAAAGTAGCGCTGCAGTGGTTGCATTACGTTCACTTGACGTAGGGCACCTATATCCAACACGCGAGAAACCGGGGAGAGAAACAAATCGGAAAATACAAGGTGGACGGGTATGACGCTGAAAATCAAATCATTTACTCCTTCCACGGTTGTTATTTTCACGGATGCAACAGGTGTTATCCAAATAGGAAGACGGTCAACAACACGATCATGACGCCAATGTCCGAATTGTACGCGCGCACCCAGGAATTTACCTGAAGATCTTAAGCGCGCGCTGCAAGACGAAGCCATTACCGGACCCCGTGCCACGCTGAATCCCAGGGAGGCGTTCTACGGGGGTCGTACCAACGCCACGCGATTATTTTATAAAACGTCCGGGGAAGAAAAGATTCAGTACGTCGACTTTTGTTCCCTGTATCCCTACACGAACAAGTATTGTTCTTATCCGCTGTATCACCCGCAAATTATAACGGAAAACTTTAAGGACGTATCTGAATACTACGGTCTCGTGAAATGTAAAATACTTCCTCCCGCGGGGCTGTACCACCCCTTACTCCCGTATCGTGCGGGCGGTAAATTGAGCTTTCCACTCTGCCACGCGTGCGTAGAGGCTCAACAACAGACCCTTTGTGGGCGCACGGATAAAGAGAGAACGTTGCGCGGTACGTGGGTATCCATTGAGCTGTAAAAGGCCATCGAACTGGGGTACCGGGTCATCAACACAGAAGTTGTTTGGCACTTTGAACATAGAGAGTACGATACGAGGGCTCAGACCGGCGGCTTATTTACGGAATACATTAACACGTTCTTGAAACTAAAAGTCGAAGCGTCAGGATGGCCCGGCTGGGTGAAAACCGAAAGCGATAAAGCGCGGTACATCGATCAATAATTTCAAAGGGAAGGGATTCGATTGGACGCCTCCAAAATAGAAATGAATCCGGGCTTGAGAGCTCTGGCTAAACTTATGTTGAATTCGTTTTGGGGAAAGTTCGGTCAGAGACTAAATATGCCTCAAGTCGAGGTACTTAGCGATCCCGCAAAGTTGTACGAGTTTCTGTTGGCCGACGATAAAGTCGTGCACGACATTAATTTCATCAACCACGAAATTGCTGAAGTGCGCTATGAATCACAAGAAGAGTTTATGGATGCTAATCCCCGTACGAACGTGGTTATAGCCGCCTTCACCACGGCGCATGCGCGGCTCAGACTTTACAGCGTCCTCGAACGGTTGCAGGATTCAGTCCTGTATTACGATACCGACAGCGTCATATACGTGGGTAAGCTGGGACAATACAAACCCCCTTTGGGCGACTTTCTCGGCGATCTGACCAACGAAATCAGTCCCAAAGATGGCAATTACATAGAGACCTTCGTGTCGGGCGGGCCCAAGAATTACGCCTACCGATTGGACACGGGTAAGACGTGCTGCAAGGTCAGGGGATTCACTTTGAACTTTAGGAATTCGCAGCAGATCAATTTCGATTCTGTGGTCGATATGGTCAAAGGGGTGGGCCCCGAAAAGATCGTCATATCCGATCCACACAAGATCGTCAGAAATGGCAAGACCAAAGAAATACTAACCAAGTCGGTCACTAAAGATTATCGCGTAGTGTACAGCAAGAGGGTCATTCGAGATAATTATAATACCGTTCCCTACGGATACAAACCTACATAAAGAGAAAACTTTGTTGCGTCGCTTGCATTTGATCTCAAGTCGCCATGGCGTACACACCTTCCTTTACCACCCGCAAGTGCTCCAATTCGCCCCTATTTCGATTAATCATGCTCGACCTGATTATTGTATTAACCACTATATTATTTTCTGCGTTTGGAATTAAATTGTCTAACGTGTTAAACAATGATTTGATTAGTCAGTTAATTTTTGAGGAGGCTACTTTTGGCCTGTTGAAAAACGAAACCATCATTTCACACTAAGCGCCGGTTAAAGTTTGTAATTCTCTTCGTGACGTCATTATGTTGAGGCTATAAAATTCGGCGCGCTTAACCGCTTAGTCAGTTTTCTTCATGGGTACGAAACTACAACATCCCGCAACATTTTGTATCGCGGGACCGACCGACGGGTTGCGGCAAGACTCAGTGGGTCAGTACATTAATTAGAAATCATCATCATGTCTTTGTGGAACCATTTGAGAGAATTTTGTGGTGTTATGGTCAGCATCAGCCGGCTTACGAGGAACTGTCTCGCGATCTACCTGCTGTACAGTTTGTGGAGGGGCTGCCGGAGGATTGGTCGGATCTCATCGACCCGCAACACGGAAATCCAGTGGTTCTGGACGATCTCATGCATGAGTGCGGAAGCGATCAGCGAATCACTAAACTGTTTACCCAAGGATCGCATCATCGCAACCTGTCTGTCATTTACATCGTGCAAAACCTGTTTCACCAGTCCAAGGAGAGCAGAACCATCAGTCTGAATTGTCACTACATCGTCCTGTTTAAGAATCCCAGAGACCGATCTCAGATTGTGCACCTGGCCAAGCAGATGTACCCGGGACAGACCAAGTTTATGGTGGAAGCTTACGCGGATGCCACCAGCCAGCCCTATTCCTACCTGTTCATCGACCTGAAACCTAACTGCCCGGAAGAACATCGCCTTCGTTCCAGTGTTTTTCCCGGTGAAACCAGTTACGCCTACGTGCCTAAATAGACCAGTTTTACGTCAACGCCTTCATTTGTCACCATGACGCGACGACTGAAGGACAATGCTCACACGCTCCACATTCTGAACAGATCTTCAACTAAGAGGCGAAAGGACATTTTGAAAAATGCGGACAAAGAACTGGTCACTTGTTTGCGCGAGTGCGCGCTGAATGTGTTAAAAGGTCGTGTGCCTCTCACACCTCGTCAGAAGAAAAGTTTGCTACGACACAAGACGGTTCTACGAACTCTGGCAAACAAGAAGTCTTCTCACGCCAAACGCAAACAGCTGTTGGTTCAAAAAGGTGGATTTCTGGGATCCCTACTGGCTCCAATTTTGAGCACCCTCGGAGGGTTGCTGTTCTTCAAGTGATGAAATACGCCAAAAAACTATGCTCAGCGCCCCCACGGACAGCGTGACCAGAGCCATACAGAATGTGCTACTCTCGCGCAACCCCACGCAGAGTAAACTACAGAGTCTGGAGCAATGTCGTTAGAAAATACAAACAAATGGAACCGGAAGAAAAAAGATTACTTCCCGATATTCCTACATCCCCTCCACCCGTTCCTTCTCGAAAAAGGCGCCTTAGGGTTGTGTCAACTCCAGTAAGAGCCAGGAAAAGGCTTCAGTGGGACACGTTGTAATTTCACGTCACACGCATTTTTCCAAGAGGGGGAGGGTCTTTACTTTTAACTCGGTGAATGATTGTACGCTTAAAAAACAATTGACTTTGTTATTTAACTATGGTTTATTCTTGATGGATTAATAAATGATGCAGAAGACAACAGAAAAAAGTATGTTTTGTTTGACTTTTTTATCAGTTTTGTAAGTACTACCATTGACTCGCTAAAATTAACAAACACTAAACTACGCGACATTATCAAGACAGTATTAAGTATTAACTAAAACTAAACTACATGAGACATTGAAAAGTTTTCAATTTTTTGATTTCAATTTTCTTTACTCAGAATTTGTAACTTAACTCAACTACTCGAGATTATTATTAAGACATTGAAAAGATTTCAAGTTTTGCATTCAATTTTTCTTCACACAAATTTGACGACAAATAAAATCTAAGTCTAGCACGGGTACATCGACATTGTATTTCTCTTCGATAAAATCCTGCACCATCACATCGTTGACGAGGCAGTCATCCGTAAACACGGACACAATAGCTCTCATGGAGATGTCCCTACAACGGTGCAACAGGTAAAATAGGCAGTGCTGACCGCAAACCGTGGTGGTGAAAGATTGCAAGCGAACTGTGTTGCATATAAACTGCAAACTGTTCTTCCGTAAAAAAGATTGAACATGCTGCCCGTAGGTGTCTGGTGGAAGCCCGTAAGAGTAAAAAAAATCCGTTCGGCCGTCCTGAGTAAAGTACATCGCCAGCCAGTGGGTGCCCGGTCGATCGCTCTCGTCGGCGTTCACGATGAGGGCGCTGGGGTATTTGGTCACGGGTGGTAACCTATCCGACGGGAATACACCAATGACGTCACGGCGGGTCACGCTGTCCCCCTTGAGCACTCTTAAAAGTTGTACGCTGTCCATCGTTTAGTTGGCGTAATCGATCAGAATATTGCGGCTCTCGTCCACTTCCAGGATGCTCTCGAATTCGCTGTACACCACCACGTTGACGGTCGTTGTCAGGGCCTCGGCAAATTTCAACTCCAGACGCATGTTATTACGCTTGACAAGGTTGAAATGAGACCCGCTCGACAAGTCCGGAGACAGATCAAAAGCAAAGAGGGAGTATTCCGACTCGTAGTCTTCCCTGTTGATCTGATTGCCCTTGTCTCCAAACAGGGTATTTATACCGGAATACAAAGTCTGATAGGACATCATGTACGCTTCGTCTTTGCCGGAAAACTTGGGTTGAAGAGGTCGCCACGGCGTCTGCTCATTATCCACGTACAGCCCCAGGTAATTTAGACCGTAATGTTTAAAGTTGTAGGGGTTTTTATGATAGTCGCCGTTGAAGGCCGCGTTATCCACCATGCCAATCACCACGCGCCGGGGGATCTGCCCCAGAAACAGATTTTCGCGGCTAAAAGATTGATTTCCTAGCGGAATAGAAAACGTTTTGACCTCCACTCTGCGCAGCGGGTATTTGGCCGTAGCACTTTGTAGGGTTTTGGCGTGCGCTAGAGCCAAGGTGGGACTGACGACCACCTTTCTCAAGTTCAGAGAAGCTTCCATTATCTTTACTTTGTAGTGAGTGTCCGGTAAAGCCGCCATTAAACAGAAACTGTTTTTGCTGCGATGAAACTTGAGCTTCAGGTTGACGCCGTTCAGTAAAAACCTATCTTGAAAAAATATGTCTCCGTGAATCGGTCCCAACATATCGATAATACGGCTCTCCTCCGACAGTTTGTATCTCCGCTTTAATCCCTTGTTGAATTTTTCTTCCGCGGTTGGATCGCCCGAGTCCATTTTCCCCGCCGTATCTTTGTAAAACAGGGCGGCTGTCAGCTGCGATGCCTTGGCCGGTGGTCCGTAAGTGAGCAGGGTTTCCAGCAGGGCTCGGTACGGGTACGCGTTGGATGAAGACGAAACGAGTTTGTCGTTGAGCGTGACATCCACTTCGGAGAACAGGGAGTGAAGCAGCAGATTGACGGGAGCGACGGGAACACCCTCGCCCAGGTCGGCGCCATTTATATTGACCACTTTAACTTTGACGTTGATCAGGGTATGCGCCAAATCCAGGTAGTCCGAGTCCACGATATTGGTCAGTGGGTTGTACTGTACCCATTGCCCCTTCAAAATGGAAGTCTGAGTGGGCGGGACGGAGAAAAGATCAAATTCGGACTTCGCACGAGTGCTTACTAACGAATGCCATTGCGACGCACGGTGTTTAATCGAAGATGTCGGGGGTCCTCTTCGGTCGCTTGCTCCGAGCCTTTCTGCCCGACGTGCCGGGTGCTTTCCTTTTTAAACCTTTCTCCTGGGAGCCGGGTTGCTCAGAGAGTCGCTGCATGACCCGTGACGTCATCTTCTTTCCAGCCTGTTTCACCCGTTTCTTCGCGGCCGTCTTGACATTCTGTCCGTCGAGGGTATCGGCGACGATTCCTACCCCGGTCTTCAAGGCCTCCTTGCCTATCATTTTGGCGCCTTTTTTGATCATCGGTAAAGCGGATCTGAACAGTCCTCCTAAAATATTGCCCAGTCCGTATCCCTTCTGAATGGGGGCACCTCTGAAATAATAATCCCCGCCCCTCGCCTGATTTTTGTAATATTTCACGTAGTCCACCATGACGGCTCAAGA